CTGAGTGCTGGCTTCCCAGCAGTAACAGTGCTCTCATTCTCTCTATACAGTTGTGCACATTTGTAATATTCCCCTGATGTTGCTTACTCAGTGTCTCATCACCAGTTTATCATGGGTCATAGCATCTCACTTAAGCTGCCTGCAGACCGCTAGCAAAGGTGCGCACTGGGCATCCAGTTAGGAGCTCATCCTCCCATGGCAGGAAAACATCTATACTGATCTGAGAGTTGCTCTCCAGACCTGAATGCAGCTAAGCAGGGACACGGTCAGCAAACACTGTGGTGGCTACAGGGTATGTTGGTGAGGGAGACTCTGTTTCCAGGATTGTGATCTGTAACACATCTGAAACGATGTGATCTGAAATGTAATTCTAGTAATTCCGGGAGGTACCGATAAGCAAACTGTTTGAGCTGTACTGTTCTCCTTCATTTTATTACCAGAAGTCCTAAATTGAATTATAGCCTCACAGCTTGTTGTTCCCTACTTTGTTCTTTATGCAAACTGTTGATGTGTCATCATGATCTAGAGCTATTTTTGGCACAGCATTAATCCTTTTGTAATGTGACCTTGCCCCGTTAATATTTCCTCTCTGAGAGTTCACGAGGAGCGTGTTGGCTTTGCCCTCTGAAGCGCCAACTCCAGCTCTCTGGACACAGAGTCAGCCTGCTCCTCCGAGCGCGAGGGTTATGCGTGGATTGCTGGTGACCTGCTGGGCTGCAGTAGTTCTTGTTTGTGGTACAGAGGGTGAAAAACTCTGGGCAGTGTAATCGGTCTGACAGCCACTTCCACAGTGTCCATGGTATCACAAAGAAAAGTGCTGTCAAAACAGCAGTGCCATGAGCGATGTTCATGACAAAGTTGGGATGAATAGGGCTTTGAATACGTGTATTCTGATGACTAAGGAGAGGCTGCGGTGCGTTCGTGTTTGTAGTGCATTTGCATGGACAGTGGTGGAGTGGGGGATGCTCCTTTGGAAACATATCAACAGTAAAGCTGTATTAATGTTTCAGTGAGGTGATTAATCTTTCTCAGGCCTTCCAGCGTGACATGCCGAAATAAGACTTTCTCAGCTTGCTGATGTTTTTTGTGTTGCATTCAATTTTCTGCTTCTGCTTTGTCATTCCCATTTCAAGCTCATAATTACTCATTGTGCACTTGGAGAAAGTCCGCCTCAAGTAATGAGGGTTGTTCCAATTCAGATAACAGAGGATTTTTTGCTGGAATTGACATACTCTATTTTAATACTCGTTAATGAGTACTTTTAATCATGTTCATTATGAATGTGTAATCATGGAACACTTTGATATTACACTGCCAGATAGCAAAATAAATACCAAGATACGTATAATCATGAAGTTCCTGTAGCTGTAATGGTCCTAGAATATAAGCAAGGCCAGGTTTGAAGGGAGAAGTACTGCCTTGTCTTAAACTGATCAGTTGTACCTAGAAAAAGTCCAGGAGGAAAAGAGCCCGGAAAGATCCACGTCTTACAAACTACACAATTGCCCTCAAGGCAGATATTTAAATGCTGTTGGTTGACTTCGATTGTGGATAGAACACTGCAGAACTGAAAGGGAAGTAAATGCTCCCCATCCTCAAGAGCGCTTGAAGTTCAGCACTCCTTTGAAACTCCCAGCTTTCCTCTGTGGCTGAAATGCACTTAATGGTGTTTGTGGATTGAAACATCTAAAGTACAGATGGATTAAAACTACAGTCTGCCTTTTTAAAGTTTTATGCTGTATTTTCAAACAAAAGGTGAAAAAAATAATACTAGACTGTGAGATCTAAACAGCTCTCAGATTATATGAAACACTCTTTTAGTTACATTATTATAAAAATATTAACGTATTTTTATACCAATATTGACATTGAAAGAAGAAAGTTTCTAGCTTTTTTTCTAGCTGTTGTTAAGTAGAATTTAAAAATCCAATTATTAAAAAGTTTTATAAGCAGTATGCGCGTGTGTGCGCGCGCATGCGTATGTATATGTTGCCAAAATCTGTATGATAATTTCTGTACAGATGGATGAAGTCCTAAGCAGTGTTCCAGTACAGTTTAGGAAGAAAAGGGTAACAAAACAAATTTTCGAAAATCTTATTTTGCAATCCCACCATCTTGTGGCAGTCTGCAGTATTGCCTTAGCATTCGGTCAGCAGAAGCAAATAAAATAAAAAAAAATAAATTAATTTAAAAAATTGTGAATGTGTCCCCATCAACTAATTGGGACCTGAGTTTCTAATCGGAGCTCAGAAAGCACCTTCCTGTAGGCTCGTATAGAGCATGTACTCCAGGAGGTTAGTTTGAGAACACAAGGCTTCTCATTGTTTCCTTCCTCTTCGGCATCCCGCCTTCCCATTTCTCTCTCAGTTTTTCCTTGGTAGAGTCACAGTTTTTAGCACTCAACTAACCCTTTGCAGTGATAGTCTATCAGTGCTTCACATTTAAAAGAGAAAGTTTATAAGTTGCATCGGTTTTCAGGGCTTCTCTGAAAGAAGAAGCCTCTTCTTCAGCCTTCTTATCCTCCATGTGCTGTGCCCTCAAGGAGCAAGTATTCCACTTCACACTGAGGGACTGGTGTAAAATTATTCTTGTGTGCAACACGGAGCATGATCCTGGCAGTACAAAGAAGAGAAGATGATCTTGCTTATTCCCCTCACTGGGAGACCTGTGTGCTAACTTCTAATTGTTCTTCAGTAATTTCTCTCACTCAACCTGTTTGACTCTTGTATTTTGGAATGACTTGTCTGGTTTTATGCAAACGATCTCTGGAAAGACACTGTTCAGTCCTTCAGCAAGGCCTGGGGAGTTTCCTTGTTTAAACAATAAAAATAGTAATAATAAAATCTTCAGAAAGACCATCAATGCCAAGCAATCAGTTAAATTCTCGGCAAATTGATGGCCTGTGGTCTCTTTCGTGCTGCGATGACGTACAGCGCTGTCCTAAAGCTGCCAGTTCTCATCTGCTCTGTGGCTGCTGCTCTCCTTCAGAGTCTGACTAGCAAAAGTCTTTCCTTCTGTATTTGCTTTTTGCTTTCCTGAGCACCGATAAGTTAGGACACTGAAGATCTCTCTGTAAAATTTGCTTCTTGGCTAAGTGCATGCATGCCGTCGTTGTGCTCTGATAACCAGTACCAATGGCAATAAGATGTGTAAGCAACTACCTGAGAGGTTATTGGGGTCTGGGTTTGAAGTCCCTGGGTTGTGCAGTCTGCGAAGAGTTTTGTTAGCCAGGATGTGAAGAAGATCCTCAGTTCCCTTAGTTTGCATCTGGATGCAAAGTTGCAAACAAGTAGTGAGTTGCAATCAAGGGATTAGAAATTGAACCTTCCTTACAAATGCAGATTTGTGTTAGTGCTTTGTTTATAGAGGTTCTCTTTTGGAATTTTGGCTGAGAGCTGTTCATGATTGAAATAGAAATGTTTTCTGGGAATTTATTTTGAGGAGGGTGGTGGTTAATATTTAAGTATATACAGTGCTTTATCATTTCTCCTCTTCTGTTTTGACTTAGATTGCTCATACCATACCACATTAATCTACGGTCATTCCCATCATTCTTGTTAAGATTTAACTTAGTAAAAGCCATTATTGTTTTAACAGATCATTCTAAAATAATGATTAACATACCTCTAGCAAAGCTTAAGTGCATCAAATGCCACTGGTTCCCTTTGAGAGATTGAGTTTTAAAAATGTTCCAAGTATGAAATCTTCAGAGAAAAAGAAGATATATGATAATGCCCATTGTAGAAATGTCTGTGCATTTTCTGTTTCTTATAAATGAAATTAGCATAATTCAGTATCTGGTTTTTTAATTTTTCAGAAGACAGGGCGAAAGATATCAGCTTGCAGTACAACTCTTTATGTGAACCAGGGAAACCATGTAGAACATTCCAGTAAGGATTTGAATAAATGCCTGAGCAGCTAAACCCAGAGATGGAATCAGAAGTAACACGAGCGAGATTTCTTCATGCTAACTTGTAGTTTTTATATATTTCTACTTATTTCTTTTCAGAGTACTAAGTTAACCACAATGTAACTTCACACATCACAGAAACATTTAAGCAAGTTTTATTGCATATTCTGCGCTTGTGATTTTGATCTTCCTTCCCGTCTTCTTAGTTTTAGTGCACCAGATATACAGCCTAGGCTCCTACTGGCTGTATTCAAAAAAACCTTAATGCAAATGTAATGATGAAAAAGTATAGGTCATACCAGGTCTTTGACTGTCAGCCCTATAATGTTACCCGTTGTGCTAGCATGCAGACGTTTTCTGTGTAATGTCTTGCAATGCCTTAGCTTGCTAGGCACAGGACAGAGCTAAAACTCATTTCCCATGGATTTATGGTTCTGTGTGTAAAGTATATCCAGGTTTTCGGTCTAACGGTACAGTGAAAAGGCCCAGTAGTCATTTCATGGGAGCCCATAGAAAAAAGATGTAAGCCAGGGAAAGAACTGTAATTCAGATGGGGAAGTTTCATCTAAATACCTGTGGTGTGTATGGTCTCCTTTAAAACTTGCTCACTTAATACTGATAGGAGAGGAGATGGTGAAAACAGTGGAACTGAGACATACTGGCAATGTTTTGGGAGCTGGGGCGATCTCTGGTCGGAGAATAATCCCTGCTGTGCAAACATGATGCCTGGTTTCTGGCTCAGGTGAAAATGAAAAGCATCAATTAAGATGGGTTTTGCATGCCTGATGTGAGATGCCTGTCAATGAGATCTTCTCAATACCTGTGCTTAAAAAAAGTGCTGTATGTGTAATTATTTATAGTAATAAATCAGCAGAGTTGACAGACTCTTGCTTTCAGGTATCCTAAGTTCTTTATCGGACAAAAAACCCCACCAAAAACCAGATTACAGATATGATCTATAAATGTATGTACTGCTGATGAGTAAAATCTGGGGTGACAATGAAAAAATCAAGTGACAGTTTTTAGCCTGTCAATCTACACAGTGTTATCCTGATTCACAGTAGTAACTTCTTGTATTCCAACCCAACAGCAATACAGATGTGCACACGGTGGCATCCCTGCTTAAGCTGTACCTAAGGGAACTCCCAGAACCAGTCATACCATACGCAAAATACGAAGATTTTCTTTCCTGTGCCAAAATGCTCAGCAAGGAGGAAGAAACGGTGAGTTGACAACTTGAGTAAGATGAAATAAAAGGCTCACATGTTATTACAACCTGTTCCGATTTTGAGGAGGAGAGCAGCTGGTGATTTCCTGTCCTAATTTAAGATACGCATCTATTAATTGAAGCTGGCTTTATATGAAAATTGTTGCCACCTAGGTCATTTGGAAGTCTAAATGAAGGCGCATAGTAAGACCTTAGCTGTATTTATTGCACGCCACTGAGTCTAGTTCAAGTAAACCTCATTGTGGTCAATAGCTTCCATCTTGCACAGAAGAGACTTATATTTTTGTGGATTATCATTCTGAACTGTAAAAGGAATGGTCTTAGTAGTTGCTGTTCAACTCTTGCCATTAAATCTGGGGTCATTTTCTTCTAAGTGTCAGGATGCCAACTTTTACTGACTTTTGATTGAAGGCCAACAGACTCTATTCATTGCCTATTGTTGAATCAGAGGGCCTCAAAAAGATGGAAGCAGGCCACCTTACAGCCTCTTTTAAAACAGCATAACACAGATAAGCAAAATAAGGATGGTTATTTCTGGTTAGTTCCCTTTTTGACATTGCAAATCCTGCTAGAACTGGAACTCCTCCTACCTAATCTTCTAATTAATTAAGATGAGTAGGAACCCCTCTTTTCTAACTGAGAGACTCCTTTCTGAGCCTTCAGTTGATGACTACCAACAGCAGAGGTGGCAGTTGTTCCCATCTGATGGAATGAGGGGGGAAGAAAGATCTGTGGCAAACTGTCTTCTATAGTCATAATCTCTGACCGCTGAAATCAGACTGGTTTCTTCTTCACTGTCCTTTACAGCTTGCTACAAGGTGCGAGTTTTTGCCAGCTGCTTGCAAAAGGTGGGAGTGGGCTGTTCAGCTGGTTTAATTTGAGCCGCTGTTTGCACAAGTTATGGCAGGGGACCTTCAGAGCTAAAGTTGCAGCTTTTTGCTTGTGCATGTTGTGTATGTCTCTAACCATTGATAACTCCATTGTAAAGCAACCTGGAAGCTCCGCAGTTAGTGATCATGCAGTTTATACTTAAATTTGTAGTCATTTTATAGTGGCTTAGTCCAGAGTGTATTTACGTAGTTTGTCTGCAACTGTGCCAGGAAGCACTTTGTTAAATTCAGTTTGAAAGCAAGATTCGAATTTTGGTGCTGGAGTTGGTGTTGGCAGTTTGTTAAAAATCAGTACTATAGGTAATGAGCCACCTCAGTCCTCTTTATAGGAGCTTAGCAGTCCAGCTGTAGTTGATCTTTCTCTATGCAGAAGTTAGAAGTGCAGTAACTGTTGAGGGAGACAGCTGTGCGTCGTGTTTCCTTTCTGAGCCCACACCAGCGAACTTGTGCACTATCATGGACCACCCATCTTGATTTGCATTTGTTCTCCTAACGTATCGTAATCATAACTGCACTGATGCTGGCAAAGTACCAAAACCCCATAATAAGAAACAGTCTGAAGGCACTTGTTGGTAAGGAGCGTAGCCAGGGTCTCTTTCCAGAGGGCACAGAAATTAGTGTGTGATGTTCTGCTTGTCCCATTCCCAGAGTGAGCACAAACTGAAAGAACTGTGTATTGGTCTGATTCTAGTATGGACCAGAACTGGGTAAAATACTCAAATAGTTTCTCATATGAACATGCCAACTAGTTCAAATCAGAACTGTTCTTGTCAGCCTCAGCCTTGTTTATCAGCAGGCGGAGGAATGGAGCTGTTGGTCAAAAAAAGAGTGAAAGAGAAGGGAGAGACAGGATGAAACCAAGTTATTTATGTTTTTACTTGTTGATTTTTATCCAGAGCTAATCCTTGTTAGCCAAATATAGCTTTCCCCGTCCAAAATGGGTTCTACAAGCTGTTTCTGGTGGTAACCTGGATATAGCGTTTAACGCTGCATTTTCAGCGATGTGTTTATTGTCTTGTAATTGGAATTACTGACATTTTTTTAAAGGGCCTGAAAGAACTGGTGAATCAAGTGAAGAGCCTGCCAGCTGTCAATTATAATCTGCTGAAATATATCTGTAGGTAAGTGCTCTTGCAAGAATATCACAGTGGTATTTATAACTGTGAGCTGACAGACAAACCTGTCTGTGTATGTGCCCTGAAGGAAAAGCATTACTCACAGTCGGAGGATTAGTGAACTTAAGTGAATGCACTAAAAATACAGGTTTACTGCATGACTAATTACTAATTTGCTCTATCAAGCTGCTTAGTTATGACTTTCATAATCAGGCCGTGCTCAGCAAGAAACACAAGGTAGAAGTGAATATATTCTGTCCTCTTTATAGGACCCTGGTTTTCTCATTTCTAATGGCAGCTATTGGCCTTGGCTGTGCACTCCTGAAGCATGGTATCCTTGAAAACTGTGTATGTCTTAGAGCATATAGAATAGTTTAATGGATGCATCTAAGATCTTAAAAAACATGTCTTACACAGTTGCTATTTGTGAACTTATAGAAAGTTCCCAGCATAAAAAAAAAATGTTTTTAAAAGAATATAAACTTTTTTTTCTTAAATTGACAGTTTGCATTTTGAGGATATTTTATGAGCTGAGTAGTTGATTAATTATGTTGGAGAAAGTCACCATTTTCAACAGAATTATCTTGTAGACTGTCCAGATTGACATTTACCTTTTGTTATCAATGTATCATTCTGAAGAAAATCTGAAGAAGTTGAGGAGAATAGCCTTGAGTTTTCAAAATGTTCCATGCAGATTTGGAATGGAATACTTGAACTATGTTAAGAAACGATCACATGCTTTGACTTTTTTTTTTTTTTTAATTTCATTTTACATGTTCCTTAAAGCCTCTTTCTTCCCCACAGATTCCTTGACGAAGTCCAGTCTTACTCAGGTGTAAACAAAATGAGTGTGCAAAATCTGGCTACCGTTTTTGGCCCCAACATCCTTCGCCCCAAAGTGGAAGATCCTCTGACTATCATGGAGGGTGAGCTTACTGTACATAACTTGTAATAGGAAGAAGGAATGTCTTTAGATTTATTAACAGTACATGCCAGTCCATGCAGGCCGTGCAGTAAGTTCCATATATCTGTTTTATAGACACAGAATTCTTCAACCTGAATGAACTTCAGGGTTAAATCTTGTGAGTTCCTGTAAAAGTGACTGAAATGTGCAGCATTGTGAACAGACTTTGCATGAGATTGTGCTGCCCTGGCAACTTCACTAGAAATGTACTTTTTCTCTCAGCACTTACTGCAAATATGGCATTCCACACATGTGGTTAGAGTGCAGTTAATATTTTACCTGCAGTTCTTAAGGATGAGAAAAAGCTACTACGGGTTCATACTGCAGTGACCCATGGAGTATCCCCCACAAGGCAGTGGTATCTTGCACAACAGTTATAAATTGTCAGCTGCATTCTGTTGTTTATAGCTGTAGTATTTTACTGTGATTAAGACAAAAATATGGCCATGACAATCTCCTCCTATAATTTCTTCTGAGGCCTAAACTTTGTGACTTTAATTCTCCATAAAAGACATGACACCTTTTCTCCCTCCAAACGCTTTTGTCTTAATATGTAGGATTTACTTCGCTTTCTCAGAAATTAGGGCTGTAAACAGACCTGGCACTGAAAATTTTACCAAAACTCAAAAAAGCAGTGTTCATAGTTTTAAGAGTGTGTAGATTTATTCTTTTTCTGTGAGTTTGATGCTTTTTCTCTTCCCCGGATACAACAATTTCCCAAATACTTTGTTCATTTACTTTTATTTCTGAAGTCTTATGTTTCCTCGTTCTTCCTTTTAAATCTAAACACAACTACTATGTTGTGAGCAGAAATTCAGCACAGAACAGTCCATGTTCTCGGAAGAAATACAGATAAAGGTGCCATGGGAGTAACTAAGTGAATTTTCCTGCTACGTAGTTCTGCCGCGTGATTTTGCCTTAGCAAACAAACAGGAACACTAAAAAAAGGTGTTGTTGAGTACCCACACTGAATTGACTCTTAGTAGTTGTGTTTTAAAAGAGTGGGGTACAAAGATCCAGAATGTTGCAAAGGAGCTGATGTGAAACGATATTGCACAGTGGGAAATCATTGATTAGAAGAGCACAGCATGCCTCTGAAAGCTCTCTAGAAGCTTAAAAATGGGGTGGTGGTTATAACTACCTTGACCTTGTTCCTGAAATATTCTTAATAATCCTTAATGAGGGTCTGCTTAACGAAATAGATTTACACATCTTTATTACCCCAAGTCCAGTTATAAATGCTAGTGAGTAAATTACAGTGCAGTCAAGTGGTGTGCACATGAAGGGGTTGTTCTTTAAGAGGAAAGGTAGCCATTTATTACAGCAACTAGCAAGCCGTGGCCCTGCATTAATTGCATACTGTGCTATAACGTGGCATAGTTTCCTGTAGTCTCACCGCAGAATGGTTAAAGGCATTCACATTAAATTAATTGTCGTATTACTGCCCTGTTTTGCTCCAAAAGACTAAAACATCTGTGTTCCAGCAATGCAAATCCCTTGCCTGCCCATTTGCTGTTAAACTACTAAATACAAGTGCTGTGCCAGAATAACACTTCTGTTTTAAAAAACATTGCCACATTGAGCTGAAACACATCACTTACAATGATGTTATCCTTTGCTACTCATTATCTTCTCCTGTGGTCTTCCTGGGATGCAGTTACTGTTGTGGTAATAGCTTCTTTGAAAAAGTTTCTGTCCTGGGGGTCTGTGAGGGCTGCGGGCTGGGTCTGATGGAAGGAGGAGGTGGTGCTGATCTGTCCTGGTAGCCAGGGGCACTTCAGGCATTTTACGCATTCAGGGTGTTACATAGGTGGATGCATTACGTCAATATTTGTGTAAGCTGAATGTTTACTAAGTATTTGTGGATAAAGCATGTTTATGCCCTAAACAAAACAGATCACTAATGACCACGTGCTCGGTATCTCCTTTCAGGTACAGTAGTAGTCCAGCAGCTAATGTCAGTGATGATTAGCAAACATGACGAGTTGTTTCCCAAGGATGCAGACCCTCAGATGGGACCTGAGGTATGCAACAACAACAATGAAACGCCAAAGAAAGCGACTGCGGGGCAGCTGCAGAACAAAGAGAACAACAACACCAAGGAGACAGCAGTGAGGCGCTGCTCTTGGGACAAGCCGGAGTCTCCCCAAAGGGGAAGCATGGAGAACGAGTCTCCGACTGCTCTGCCAGGCAGCAAGACAAGTAGCCCCAGGAACAGCATCCAGAAACTAGATGTCACCAGAAGCCCACCACTCATGGTGAAAAAAAATCCTGCTTTTAATAAGGGCAGCGGCATCGTCACCAATGGCTCGTTCAGCAGCTCCGTGGAGGGCCCTGAGAAGAGCCAGACCTTACCAAACTGTGCCCTGCAAACCAGGAGAACGTCGTCCCTGAAGGGACCAGTGACTAAGATGGGCACACAGAGCGTGCAGAACGGAGGTGTGCGGATGGGTGTTTCCAGTACCGACGGGCACAGCGGTGCTCTCAGCAGCCGGGGCGCAGGCTGGGTGCCCAACGGCTACGTCACGCTGAGGGACAACAGGCAGAAGGAGTCGGTGAATGAGGCAGGCCAGCACAACAGGCTCTCCACCTACGACAACGTCCACCAGCAGTTCTCTACGGTAAACTCTGACGACAAACAGAGTGTGGACAGTGCCACCTGGTCGACGTCCTCTTGTGAAATATCCCTCCCTGAGCACTCCAACTCCTGTCGTTCATCCACCACCACCTGCCCTGAGCAGGACTTTTATGCGGGTAACTTTGAAGACTCTGTGCTGGATGGACCACCCCATGAAGACCTCTCTAACCCAGGTGATTATGAGAATAGAAGTGACAGAAGGAGCATGGGGGGCCACAGCAGCCGAGCCACCAGCAGCAGCGATAACAGCGAAACGTTTGTGGCCAACAGCACTAATAATCACAGTGCTTTACACAGCCTGGTGTCTAGCTTGAAGCAAGAGATGGCCAAGCAAAAACTGGAGTATGAGACAAGGATAAAAAGGTAAGATGGGTTGGCTCTACCATCTAGCTGCCTTTTGCAGAGTAAATCCAAGAAGTTTTCCCTCTTGTTACTTACTTTCTAGTCATCTGCACTAGCTGCAGTCACTGGGCGCTCGCCACCAAGTTTCCCATCTTTTAGTGTTGACATACTCTGACATTGCTTTTGTGGTATCATGATCCAAAGGGGTTCAGAGCAATTTCTTGCCATGCTTGTGACATGCTATCCTATTGACATCAAAACCAAAGCCAGAACCTTGAGAGTTTCTGTAGAATCTAATTAACAAAATCAGTAGGCTCTCACAAAGTTTTCATTAGTTGATGCCTGTTCACCTTTCAGTGAACACAGTGCCATGGCTTATTCCACCTGTAGTTTTTGGGACTGGGAGGCGTCTGGAATGCCTTTCCAGAGTCCTTGTTCCTCTTGAGACAGTGCTGCATCTGGGATTTACCTCTGCTCACGGTCCTGTCTCCACACGGCTGCTTTGCCGGAGCCTTTCCTTCACAGCTCAGATCTGTTAAAGGCGGCAAGGGAGAGCCGTGTCTTTCTCTACGGATAGTGCAGACTCTTCTCGCACACAACAAGGTTGCTAGGGTGGATGGCCATAACGATCAAGGAATAACCTCCAAGTCTGGGCCTAGCATTAACTGAGCACTGCAGAGCTGAATGCGCTCTCTTTGTCATAAAGGTTCTTCAGTAAAGCTGCTCAGGACTTGTCTTCTGTTCTCATCTCTGTTGCACAGCACCCCTTGGCATTGGTACCTCTGGCACTGCAAGTCATAGCTGGATCTCAACATGGGAGAGCTACGGGCAACAGCAGCTGCTAGCGGAAGTGCAGCGTACAGAATATTGCAGTCTTTCGCCCACGTCATTATTGTCAGCATAGTGTGCAGTGTAGTAGATCATTTCTTATAATGTTTAATATGATGATGATTTTGTGTTTAGTACCACTAGGATTTCTAATGTTTTCTGTTGCAAAGCTAAATCTGAAACAGAGTCAGATTTTTTTAGACAAAAACCCGTGCTGATTGGAGTTTTTTTGAAATTGTCAATTTGCATATTTGCAAATAGATACAGCAGATAAATCAGCTGCAGAAAGGAGATGAGCAGTGAAACAAAAGCATTCAGGGCGTCATTCTGACCTCGTAAGTGATACTAGTGCAACTACAGCAGGAGCTGGGTGTCAACACTTCCAGAAGTAAAACGAATACTTAGCCTATTCCTGGAGAATTAGATGGAGCTGTTTACTACTGTGCACCTTGCCAGTGGCTGTTATTAGGATTTTTCTAAATGAGCTACCAAAAAGATTGCCCTGTGAGAATGGTTTATTGATGAAGCCATGGTTTGTAGATCCACCTCTCAAAAATTCAATCTGAGCTTTGTAAATGAAAAGACAACAGGTATGAATTTGTCGGTGGTACTTATTTCTGCTTGAGTGAGTGAGGAGTGCTGCTCAGGAGCTGTCTGCTTTTGTTTTGTTTTTGCAGCTTGGAGCAGAGAAATCTCACCCTGGAGACGGAAATGATGGCCCTGCATGAAGAACTGGATCAAGAGCGGAAGAAGTTCACAATGGTAGAAATCAAAATGCGTAATGCAGAACGGGCCAAGGAGGATGCAGAGAAGAGGAATGATATGTTGCAGAAGGAAATGGAGCAGTTTTTCTCCACTTTCGGAGAACTGACAGTGGAGTCTCGCAGACCAGAAAGAGGCAATACAATCTGGATCCAGTGAGCGTTGGAAGCATAGACTGTGGGACTTTGGGGAAGGGCTTGGGGGTATTATACTGTATCAGGTGGCTGGTCACCTGTCTGAGGCTAGTACTCAATGTAATGTTATAAACCCTTGAAGGAAGAAATCATACAGACATTAACCACTCATATCTACAGTGTGTACTTAACAAGTTATACTCTCTGAATGCTTCATGAGACTACTGTCAAGTGTTACAACTGGATACGTGTATATAAATTTTAAAAAATTCACCTTAGAGAGCAAAATATGTATCTCAAGAAATATTTTAATGCAAGTCTTGTATTTAAACTGGTAAATTGAAATGTTGTTGCAATCAAGCTTTATATCAAGGCTTTTCTCCCTTGCACTTAACATAATAAGCTATTTTTGGCATTGTGTTACCATCAGCTTATTTTGTATATCAAATGTTTTTCGTTTTTATTTTTTTTTGTTACCCCTCTTGCTGGGGAGTGAAGATAAACAGATATGTTAAGGTATGTGTGCCAGTGGTTAACTCTGATTTGCGTCGCTTCTAAAAAGAAAGCAGGATAAGAAACAGCAGCATTTCATGGGCAAAATAAAGTGGTACTAATTTGACAGGATTGATGGCCAGGGTAGAAAGTACCAGGGCACCCGTATTGTAAAAACCAAATGAAGACATCAAGTCAGCAAAATTGGGAACAATGGAAAAAAGGGTAAGTGGATGCTTGTTTGGGAGCAAGTGTGGGTGGCAGAGTAAGAAACTGGGAGAGCAGAACTTATGGGGAAGTTAATCACATGACCAGAGGTTTTTGGGGTACCCTAAAGAAGCCCTGTGCCTGATCACTGCAGCTCAGAACAGGAATATGAACTAGTTGTTCTGACCATATTTGCATCTGACTTACATCTCTACTCTGAGTGAAAGCGAGTCCTTTTTGTAATGTCGGTGAAGGGGACACAGAGGGGATGAACTGGACATCCTGATAGCCTTGTGAAGGGTGCTGAAAAAAAATAACAAAAAAAATTATGTCCAGAGTAGAAATTACTGGAGCAACTGTATAACAAAGAGCAAATAAGGAAGAAAACACACCAACATATTCACCACCCATATTTACAGTGTGTATTAGCAAGTTATCATACTGCCCGAACGCTTCGTGAGATTGCTGTCAAGTGTTAGAACTGTGAAAGTTCCCGGGCGCTCAGCATCACCAAGGGAACACCTGGAGACAACAGCTGGAGCGTAACAGCATGCTGAGTGCCAATGAAAAAGAAACAGCAAAGCTGTGCTGTAAATTAATCATTTCTGTGGCATCTTTACATATAGTAAGTATAACTGGTATTTTCTACACCATGTTAAAGATTTTTTGGTTTTAGGTTTAGGGCTGCGAACTGTATTAGAGAGGGTTGTTGAGATGTCTTGGCTTCCCTCTAGTGTCTCATAAATATATTGCAATTATTTTTCAATTCCAATTGAGAAAGAACGATGAAGGTACCTTCAAAGAACATTCTTGGTTATACCATGTGTATTAGACATGTATTAATTAGATGTGAGAATTATACTGGGAAGCAGGCATGAGGTTTATGTTTCAGAGAAATATTAACTTCCAGTGGAGCATTTTACGTGGTGCTTGTGGATTCATTATTTGTGTCTGGTGAGGTTCAGAGTCCCCAGCCAGCATGTCTACTGTACTAATTACTGTGAACATCTAGTCTGTGTGTAAATCAGAAAAAGTCAGATGAGGAGAGATCAAGGTAATAGGAAGGAGCAGGTTTGATACCAGTTAGCAGCAATCATAAGATGTCCCCACAATCGTGAGAGAAGGACACAGATGTTCATGTACTATGTTAATTCCAATTTTTAAATTGAATGAGAGAGATCTTGATATCTGATGCAGTAAGCCTCTAAGTCAACTCACAATTTAAGCAATATCTGACATCTGTTGGTGGCAGGGTCACCGAGATAAGTATTTTCTTAACTGGAATTCATATTTTTACACTAGATGTATACAATAGTCCCTGCAGCAATATCCTGAGGTGGAGAAGGTCCTGCTCTCTCACTTGGACTAAGCCAATTTTCTCATTTAGTTTTCCTCTAGCAGCCGCTATGTTGTTCAAGCTCTGTTACTCTCTTTAGCTTTAAAGGAATACCCAGTTCCTAAGACTAGTCGAAGGACCCATGTAAATGAGGACTTAAAGTTTAGTCACGCAGGCATGGCAGAAGGTGGCCAGCGAGGCAGTGGGGCAAGGTGATATTACAAGGTAGCTGAGAAAGCCGATACGATGGCAAAAATGACAGCTACTTGATGAAAATTTTTTTCTGATACTTGTTCAAAATTGACGAGGAATAGGAATTTCATTTCACATCCACATCTGCTTCCAATGCCCTAGGCTGTACAATATGCATGGAAGAAAGGAAGGTATTCATAGTTCATGTACTTAGCGTTCTGTGTTCAATTTCAATTATCCTTGGTCCTCGCAGGAACTGACTGGAGCCGTCCAGTGATTTGTGTGTATTGCATGTTTTCCATATTTGTTTGAACAGACTTCTTAGTACACGTCTGTTTCTGAACTCAGATTGTTTGGTCAGTGATTGCTTTCTGAGGGTTAGTTGTTGGTCTGCCTCCAAGTCTACCCACAAGAATGCAGTTCAGAGGGGTTTTTTGCTTATCTTCTGGTCTTTGCGTTTACCATGCCTGAGATGGTTTATCAGACAAACTATTTCAGCGAAACAGCTTTGGTTTTGGTGCACATAGATCCTCCTCGTTTTTATATTGTTTGAGGATTGACATTGAACACTCTTCACTCAGACTAAATGATGCTACTGCAGTGATTTCTTTAGGACATGATCCTTGGAAAAAAAAAAAATTCTTTTTATAGGGACTCTGGGAAGGTGGTTCTCCATGTGAATTTTGTGCAGGGCTTAGACTAGAGAAGACCTGGCTCCTGCAGGCTGATGCCAGGCTAAGAAATCAGAATTTCTGGTTTGTTTATGTATCAGAGGGATCTTGACCTGTTTTGAAGTTAGGACTTAGTCTTGGAAGAAAATACAAAACATCCACATAATTATAGGTGTTAAAACTAGCTAGCATTTTTTTTACTTTTCTGAATACAAAATTCTTTACACACAGAAGCAAAATTCCTTAGTCAGAATATCTACCAGGAAAGTCTTTGTTACTATGGTTGCAGAGCAGCAGCTCAGGTTTCTGTCTGTTTGCCCAGCTCATTTTGGCTCTGATTCCTTGAGGGGTTTAAAACTGTTCTTGGTGCTGCTGTCACCTTCCAGCCATCTATTCCTGTACCCTACTTCGTAGTGCTCTTGACAGTCAGCTCATCCCATGGCGGTCCGTGCCTTGGAGCCGAACCTGCACAAACCCTGTTCTTTGGGTTAGCTTTCTGGTGGTTGAGGTCTCAGTGGTGGCTCAATAAAATATCAGACAAGTTCACCATAGCTATGCCATTTAGAGTCAGCTTAAAGGGATCACGCTGTTAAAGTATCTTTGAATGGTTTTTTTGAAGCTTGTGTTAGGCACGATTTGTCTATTTGTTTGAAGGTTGTCTTTGTCTAGATTTGAAGCTTGTCTTTACGGTTGAAAAGGTATTCCAGTCAGTTCCTCAAAGAATGCTCAAACTCCAGTTATGTGGCTAAGTACTGGTATCCCAAATTCCTTGCTTTGCAATCCAGGACAAGATTTCACCTCGTTGTCTCTGCAGAAATCATCTAGACAGACTGGAAAACTTGAGCAGGCACAGAAAACTTAGAAAATATTACCAACATATGTCCACTCCTGTCATGATCTATCCAAAGAATCCCACTCCTCTCCTCCTGTGAGGCTTTATCAGCATTTAGGCTGTGGTGATAAAGTTTATTTATGTCCTTAATGGCCATCATCATGCTTCTATTATTGTCCTACTTCTTTAAATTAAAAGCACAAAATTAGCAATGTTTCTCACATTCAGAAGCAAGTAACAAAATGCTGTTCTTGTAACGTGTAACTTCTCAGCTGTATGGTACCGTTTCCACGTGGTCCACAACCAGTTTGTTTTGTCCCATTTTGCATGTCCAGCCTGTGTGTGAGGTGACCTGCTTGGCAGAAGCAATGTTGAGTGGGCATGCTGATGGATCTCAGTAGCCAAAGGATAAAGTTTTTTTTCCACTCATGCAGTGGAGTGGAAAGGGGCAAGACTTCTTCATGAGGTTGAAGTCAAACCGGACTGAGCCCAAAGGCTCTGAAAAAAACGATAAGAATATCATGCAGAGTATTTATTGATCATTGGACATCTCATGAAGGTAATTTTTTCAGGCATCTTACTGTTAAGGTATTGGATGAAACTGAGGCATTAGCCTAAAACATTAGCCTTGAAACACTAAAAGTTTCAAGTATCAATTAAAAAAGTGAGACAACTGGTTTTATTACCAGTCTGTGTAATGGAACGAGTCACGTTCTAAGGTCAAGTGGATGGTCTTACCTACTATGAGAGGACACTAAAAGTTTCAAGTATCAATTAAAAAAGATAGAATAATAAATTTGCTTCCACCTCTTTCTCACAGGTGTTTCTGTGAACTCCCCAAATTAATAATCTGTTGCAGGAGTTCACCAGCCAGCTCCAAGCTGAGAATGGCAGTTAACAGCTCAGCTCTTCCAATGCATTGTCGCTCTCTGCCTCGTGCACAGCGCACAAGACACAATGCCTTTACAATGCATCAATACGGAGGGCAGAAAAAATCCTCTTGGAGCTGATAACCTCCTGTTCCAATCACAGAGTATGATTACCTTACCTTACATTCAGAAGGGTAAGTCTGGGACAGCACACACGTTTAAAAGCAGGCTGTCGGAATGCTACAGTTGAGGGACAGTGAGTAAGAGAGGGAGGCACGCTTAACCACTGTTAATCCCATCTCTGGCCATGTCATTGGAGGACCATGGTGGGTCATGGTGCCCTATGTGCCTTTGCACAGTAGACTGGAATAGTGGTAGGCACTCACCATATTTTTTAAGTGTTAGATTCAGATGCTTTGCTTAGAAAAGCTTCTGTCTCCCTTTCCGTTTGTGAGAATCCTGCTACACGTTTGGAGTGTGGTCTGGTGCAGCAGAATGATTAAACTTACTACACTTCTTTGCTACATGTTTTTCTTTCAGCATCTCATAGAGTAAGTTTCCCAAATATAAAATTTAATGAAATTATATGCAAAACTGGTATGTTAGGTTTTCATAAGAATGAGGAGGAAAGGAGCTTGCTAAGATTACCACTCCTGTAAGCAGTACTTGATCCAGTAGTTAAAGCGATGGTTCAGACGTTTTTGAGAGAGATCCAATTTGCTAAAAAGAATGAATATTTAACACATATTTATTGTATGGCATCCCCAGAGGGGTGGAACAGAGGTGGGGTAAGGAGATGCTGAATAAACAGGTACAGTGATTTGCATGTTTTGACAACCCAGTCAAAACAGTGAGTTGGCTCTGGCTGCTGTAGCTTGAACCCTTCCTGGTAGAGCAAAACTCCTAATTAATTTCCTTTC